TTATACCAAGATTAAGCTGCACCTTTCAACATAGTGACTAGACCTTTACACATTAAAGCCTCGTTTATCCCTTGTATTATCATGTTAGTTCTATAATATTTCAAATGATCAAAGAGACCAAAAGTACCATCATATGTCTTCGAGGTAGGTATTTTAAATCTTTTGAGAGGCACGACTTTGTCAATCTTTTCAGTAAAAGGTAAGATCTTCAAGAATTTTAGTTTATCTTCAAATGCTATTATTTTCATTTTCAGCTCATTTTTCATGGTTGCATCCGAGCTTCCAAATATTTATTCGGTTGAAATTCATAGTTTATTTATTTGAATTTTTAGGTTGTAGCATGTGTAGAATTGTAACTAGAGCGATGATGAGTTGGGTAATGTGTTTTTCTTTTCTGGAGGTCGAGGAGGCTTCCACCTCTTCATAGCTCAATTACCCGAAAATGGTCTCTTAATCGATGTGACTAAGCTTGACATTTTGAAGACTTGTGGTGGGATTATAGTTTGCAGCATCTACTTGAGAGCTTATATTTGTTCTATCATGGCTTGAAATTGTTTCATGATCAGTCTCGTTTGTGGTTAAGCTAGACAAATAAAATGATGGTTTAGGTGAGTTTATGTTACAGTCGGGATAGTTGCCTCTCCTTACTGTTGGATTCTTTTCTTTTTGTGGTATTGTTTTATGCTCGTCTAATATAAAATATGTCCCTATCTGACATATCAAATGTTGGTATTGAACTTCAACCTAAAGATATTTTTATAAATAAAAAAAAAAAGATGATTAGAGACAAAATAGAAAATATTCTCTACTTTGGTATTTTGACGTAAATCAATGAAGATTAGGTTAGAAAAAAAATGTAAAAATAAACAAAAAAGATAAATGAAATGAATCTAGGTTCATAATACTTAAATTTTTATATTTATAAATAAGTTAAGGGAAATAAAAAAAAAAAGAAGCAATTGAGATAGAACTGATATGAGGTATCATTAATCATATCAAACTAATCTAACAAATGATAAAAATATTTTTAATTATTTATTAAAAATTTTGAAAAAAAATCACTATATATTTTTAATAATTTTATACCCGTAAACTCAAATTAGACCCGACAAGAGTCCCCCGACCTGAATTTTTTTGATCTTGAAAAGTGGGACAGGATCATAAAAGTTCATTAATAACCAACGGGAAAAACACCTGCTGCTTTGCCCTCTTCCTCTTGCATAAATATCTTAGTCAACGGTTAGCCAAGGCCCATGAGCGACTGCAATGAAATGCAAGAATCTGGAAGCCAATTGATCACTGAACCACTGTCTCCCAGGCCTCCCTTCCTGTCTTGGTCTTTGAGCTCGTCAACATTTGCCCCTTTCACTGATTCTTGCGCTCACAGGCAAAGCTTGCTTTGTTTACGTCAAGGTCAAGCCACTTTGCTTTGCCTTCCCTTACATAATAATAAAATACTTCATGATAATGTTATTTTGTTTTCCCTTTTTACTCGTAATTGTGACAACTTATTTTAGGGCAAATGTGTTTTACGATATTTTTTAAGATTAATAAAATATTATTTGTATTAATAATTTTATATTAAACATAATAAATTTAATTTTTAAATTTAATTTATTTAATATAATAATTTAAACAATGCTTTTAGGAGGCAAATTATCCTACTTTAAAATAATCAATCTTAAATCTTTTAAAATTTGTGTCAATATTTTTAGTAATATTTTATATTAATTTTTTATAAAATTAATATTTCATGTATTTTAATGTTAAAATAAAAATAAAAAATAAATTAAAATATAACAAAATATTGTTTTAAAATAGATGAAGTGTGTAATAAATAAAAATATTCAAAAAATGAAGGGTGTAATAAATAAAAAATTAAAAACGTGTGTATAAACACTAATTACTATGGTATTATAAAAATTATAATTAAATTGATTTTTATGACAGTAGTGTTTAAAAATAAAATATACGTTTTGGAGTAATATTTTAATAATGTTTAATAAGTATTAAGTCTTTAACTATTTATCAAAATGGGAGCATTTTATGTTAATTCTTTTTATTATCATTTTGTAACTTGTCCAATTACAATTAAAATTTATATAAAAATTTATTATTTATAAATATAAATTACACATAATATTTTAACAAATCTTTTATAATTTTAAATTTTAATTAATTAATTATACTACAATTATTATAAAATATACTCTATATAAAAACAGCCAGACTGCATTATTGACAAATTTACAAACACTTCAACATTTTTCAATAAAAACAAAAAAAAAAGGGGGGGAACTCGTAGCATCAGGTCCCACAAAAACTTTACTTGCCTTAATGGAAAAGCATCTGATGGGAATCAAATGTTTTTGGATTTGGACGATGATGTAACTTTCTGCCTTGGATTTGGGTTTACTTGAATTTGTGTATTTGTTTCTTTCACCAAAGTGTGTACTATATATGGATTTATCTTTATTACCAAAAGGGTTCTGGTTGCAAAAAAAATACCACAAGGGTTTTCTATTTTTAGAAATTGTGAAAATACATCTATTTCTACAAGTAATTGTCTTTTTTTTTTTTTTTAATTATGTTTGAACTATTTTGCTTATAAACACTTGCATTAAAGCATTGGTAATTTGGTATGACTTTAATAATAATATTTTTTATTATTTATAACTTAGTAAGATGCACTATAATAGAAGAGTTAACATGATTGTAAAATACAATGTTTTTATTTGGTTATCAACTTTTAATCTCCAAAATAAATCTTAATACATATTATGATAATAATGAACAATTATTTTGCATAAAAAAATAAATGAACATGTGAAAAATAAGTCACATTTTAATATATATTGTTGATTACTAGTGTTGAGAAAAAAGGGATTTGAATTTAATATACATATAAAGAAAAATGTGACTACTATTATTCTAATTTTCAAGAATCCCTTCTTTTAAACGATACAAAGAAATTTTTATTTGATTAATTACGATATAAAAGAACTTAAAACGTGATTATTATGCTAATGGAGTATTAATTTAATGGTAAAAAAATAAATTTAGAATTCAAATTTTATTTCATATGCGTTCGATTCAAATTTATGTTGAATTTATTTAATTTTATTATAATTTTTTAAATGTAATATTTGATTATAATTATATATTCTAAAAAATATGATTATTATTATTTTTTGTATTTAAAAATTAAGGTGAAAGAAGGAAATTTTATTTCAACTTAAGCATACTGCAAGCTTGAATGAAAATTTACATTAAATTTATAAAATTTTACTAAAAAATATTATGAACAGTGAAAATTAAATTATATCTTTTAAGCAAAATATTTAATTCTTACCGATTGAACTCACGTTTAAAAAGCCTGTTAACATAAAATTTTAGAAAATTTTCAAGTGAAGAGTACAAAGAAAATTATTACTTTTAAAAACCCTTTTTTAACCAAACAAAATTTAAAATAACTTTATAAACAACAAAAAGAAAATGTCACCACAATAACATATCTAAAACACTGTTTCTCTAAAATTCTCATTATTTTCTTACCATATTATCTTTTTCCCTATTAGCCATTAGGCTAAGTATACCATTCAAATTTCTCTTCACATCCTACCTTTTTTTTGGTAAAATTTTTTATAAATAAAATTATTTAAATACTCTTCTCACAAATATTTGAAAAATACATTTTTAAAAGTTTTAAAAATCAAATTTTATGAAAAATTATAAAAAAAATTCCTAAAATTTTTATGAATTAATGTAATAAAAAATTATTATTTGAAAATTCATAAAATTTAAAATTAATAAAAAATTGCTTTTACTATTTTTTATTTTAAAAAAAGATTAAAATTTTATGAGGCTAGACTTAAATTAAATATAAAATAATAAATGTAAATTTTTATAAATTTAAAATTTAACATTTTTTAATGAATAATTTTTGTATCGATTATTAAAATTTTATAATAAATTTAACTTAACTGAACTTCTTAAATAAATCTCTTTAATTAAATATTACGATAGATTTCTTTAATTTACATATTAAATTTTGATAAAATTATTTACTATTAAATGGTATCTCTTATATAGTTTTAAGAAGTTTATCATATATGATAATGCTTTCATCACTTTTCGTAATTTTAAGAAATAAAATATTTAATTAAGATTTTATTTTTTATTTAAAAACAAAATAATAGAAGTAAAATTTTTATTATTTTTAAAATTTAAGATTTTTAATAATAAATTTTTTATTACACTCATTCATAAAAATGTCTAACAAAATTCCCTTTTTCTAATTTTTCATAAACGTTTAATTTTAACCTTTTTTTTTTTCAAAAAGTATTACAACTTTTTGAAAATTAATTTCCAAAAAAAATTATAAAGTTTTAGAAATACATTTTTGAAAACTGTTATGTTAAGGGTAATTAAATAATTTTATTTATAAAAGATTTAAAAAAATGTAAAAAAAAGTGTAAATAGAATTTCCTTTAGTCATTTTTCATGTTTTTAGTAAGAAAATTTTTTTCTTTTACGAAAATTATTATTATGTGCTTAGATCATATTTGATATATAAAACTATAACAAAATAAAATAAAATAATATTTTAAATAAAATAAAATTAAACAATGTGTGTAAGAATTAAATTAAAATAATTTATTTATTAATTAAAATTATTTTTTGTAAAAAATATAATAAAATATATAAATTTAATTTTATAAATTAAAAATAATACTCTTTATTTTAGAAGAATTAAATTATCTTATAATAAGAGAATGATAATTTTTCTTAAAATCTTATTCTTTTATTTAAATATAAATCAAACATAATAATTTTATTTATCATTTTATATATCAAAATAATTTTAAATTATTGCAAACAAATCCTCTTTCAAAATGTAATGGATTTTTTAAAATGTTTTTAAAGTTTTTTACCATAGATTACCATTTACCAACACAGATATCAAAATATTATTATTAACACAGCAATAAAACAAAAATAATACTGCTCTGTTTTCTCACTTCGCTAAAAAAAAGAAAATATGAAATTTCTTGCAATCGAAGGCAACCACTAAGCTCGTTTTCTTCACCATCAATCAAAAGAGGCATCTTTTTCTTCCTTTCACTTCTTCCTCAAGTCTTCAGTCATCCACCAAAAACCCATTTTTCATACCCAAAATTATCGCATGGGAGGTGAAAATTCTTCAGCTGGAGTTCCGGCACCAATGGCGGCGGCGGGGACGACGGTGGCGGCGGCAAAGACAGGCGGTTCAGCGACGGCGTTAGCACCTGGTTTTAGATTCCATCCAACAGATGAAGAGTTGGTTAGCTATTACTTGAAAAGAAAAGTTTCAAACAAACCTGTCCGATTTAATGCTATTGCTGAAGTTGATATTTATAAGCATCAACCCTGGGAACTTTCAGGTTGATTTGTTTATTTAATTTTTATTTCCTTATATGTATTTAGATAGGTTTATAGAATTTGCTAGAATTTTAGAGATTATCTACAATTTTGTTTTAATTTTTGGTAAAGTTGAGTTTTTAAAGGTTTTTTGGAAGGTTATGAGTTGAAAATTTGAGAATACAGTGAAATAATTGGTTTTTGTTTTCTGAGTATCTCTACTTCGGTGCAGAATTATTCAAAGTTGATTTTCTTTTTTAATTTTAGAAGGATTATGTGTTCAAAATTTAAGAGTGTATGAAAATATTTTTTTAATATTTTTCAGTATTTATTTACTAGCTAAATGCAGTATGTTTGGCTATCACTTTCTTTTAAGAAATGTATCTTTTCCATTTTAATTTCCTTCTTCTTTTAAGCTGTGTAAACTCTTTGTGGATTTCTATTTCCTTTTAATGGTTTTGTTTTTTCCTATTTTGGGTTGTTTGTAAGAACTTGGCTATCACTCTTACTGTTTTGCTGGGGTTTACTGGGTGCGTTTTAGTTCATTTTGAGCTATGGTGTTAATATTTCTTCTTGGTGGTCTTTAGACAAGTCAAGATTGAAAACCAGAGACAAAGAGTGGTATTTTTTTAGTTTATTGGATAAGAAGTATGGGAATGGGGCAAGAATGAACAGGGCAACAAACGAAGGGTACTGGAAGGCCACAGGGAAGGACCGAGAGGTCCGCCACAATTCGCAGCTTATTGGGATGAAAAAGACGCTAGTTTTTCATAGTGGGAGAGCTCCAGATGGGTTGCGAACCAATTGGGTTATGCATGAGTACCGGCTTGTTGAAGAAGAATCGGAAAGAATTGGGGCTTTGCAGGTTAGAGACCATATAAATTGATCTTGATGGTGATGATGATCTGTTATGTAGGTTGCCACTATCAATGTTATGGTTTAAACTTTTACGTAAATTTAAGGTTGCACCCCGAGTCAACTATATTTTGCATGTCGAGAAGATAAACAAGATGCCATAGATTATGCAGGATGCTGCATTGGTTTGATTATCATGAAGAACTGATGTGCTTGAGACACATATATTTCTGTATGAAATATGATGAGAAAAAATGAGTTTGAACTGTTTGTATGTGTGCTGCTTCGTTTTCATCACAATCCTGCTTTCAGTAGGTGGCTGAGAAAATTTAGTAAATGTAGAGAAAATGGATGTGATTCTGGGTTTCATGTGTTATAAAGTTTTCATTTGATGACGGTGAATAACATGGGTGCATCTAGCTCGAGTTAAGTAGAATTAGGACTTTTGTTTTATATGGTTTGCTTGTATTTTGCAACCTTATGTGTAGAAGTCCTACAATTTTGTCAACAACTAAACTCTATTATTGTTCAAATTTGGAAAACTAATCTTATTAGAATTGTTTCTTTTCTTTTTTATTCTTTTTTTTTCTTTTGGGTGGAGAAGGGGTATGTACTATGTAGAGTATTTCATAAGAACAATATCGGACCACCCAATGGAAACCGATATGCACCTTTCATTGAGGCGGAATGGGATGATGGTTCAACGGCTTTGATTCCGGGGTTAGATACTGGGGATGATGTTGTAGCTGGTAATGATGCAGTAGCTGGCAATGATGTGGTAGCGGCTGAGAATGCAGTGAGTGAAAGCAATGGTGTTCAAAGCATTGCTGTTGAGCAGGTTTGTGCTTTATTTTTCTAGCTACTGGTTTTCTATAGCATTGAACGGTATTATTGTTGTTCATCATTTCATAGTGTTGAACCATTTTATAGATCCTCACTTGATGACTTTACAGGTTTTAAAGTATTATATAACAATTTCACCAACTTATTGTTGCTAGCATAATGTGTAATGACCTGCAAGTGATGCAACTTGGGAAGATGAGCCTCTATAATGTCTTAAATCAATAAAACTGAACATGCATGTGAAGGACATTTCTTTTTATAAATTCTCACATAAATTTGGATCGATACAGGTAACTTATTATTTTTAAGTGTTCCTCGCCCCTTCACGACCAGATTCCACCTATTATTCTTGCTTCTCCTTCTCTATCTTGCTTGACCATCATGCAAATCTTCTCCTTCCTAAGTGCTATTGATACCTCTTCTTCTTCTTCGTTGTCTGCTTCCACCAATCAACACCAACAGTCAACACATCATCTCTTCTATGGAGTTCACAGAGGCTCAAGCATGATGCTTTCGGTGTATGTATTGGACATCTATTATATGCCCTACGTTTACTTCTTAAATTTTTCCTTTTTTTTGGGGTTTTTCTTTTGGGGGGGGGGGTGTGTGGGGCTTTTGATTACAATAATCTTTAAGAGGACAAGGCACTTGTAGATATTTACAGGAACCTGGTCCTGGTGAGACAATTGTGGTTTTGCTTATATGCTGTTATGTTTTCAGTTATGGCTTGAAGACGAAAAAGTTTTGATATGTTACCTTCTGTTCCTTTGTTCATTTTTCTAATAAAAAATTTCTTGTTGATTGCTAATGTGTTAAACCTTTTCCTATAAGCGTAGAGTATGCATTGCAATCAATCCATGTCTTGCCAAATTTCCTGAAATAGATGAAGGTTACTATGAATTAGCGAGAAAGCTTCTGGCTATGATGTCAGTATTTCCCAGCGGGGCTTTTTCTTTACTGTAGATATTCTCTTCAAACAGTAGGCTGTATTGTCTTCACTAACGATCTCATGGGCCATAAAAATGTCAAAGTTTGCGTCTTGTGCAATCTAATGTAACAATATAATTTCCTTGTGTTTCATTAGTAACAAGTTCTCCGGATTGGCTTTGCTTAAAAACTTTTGGCTGATTTTGCTCTTTTATGAAGTGAGGTAAATTTGGAACAAAGGAGCATTTGCACACTGGTGTCAGAATTGATACCAAGCTGATATCATAAGCATTTTAGCTATCAAACTCAGAGGTCTACTATTCTTAACTCACAAGGGAAATGGAGTCTGACTTGCACCAGCTCTTCATAACTATTTGAGTCAAGGAAGTCTAGGCTTGTTAATTTATTATTAAGCAAATTATCTTGTTATTTTTTTGAGTTAACTTACGAGCCAGCTTAAAGACTACTGGCTTACAGGGAAGTTTGGTCCCAAATAGCTAGTGTCACGTGTGGTAATCTTTATCTTGGCATGTTTTGACTTTAGAAAGAGGAATGTGTAGGGTTCTTCACTTTAACCATGATGCTTCTGTCTTTTTCCTGTGTTATCCCTTAGAGAGTGCAGAATGGTGGACTCATTAGACCTATAGAGTAATAGTATGATGCTATGAAGCATCTTGATGATGAATGGTAAGATTGGGGTTGTTTAAACTGAATTGATTCTGTTCTGCGTCTCTTCATGTATCATGTGGCACTTGGATATCTTCTTTTCGTTTTCCTTTTCAGCTTAAATGAGAAATTGTTTGCTTGTGAATTCAGTTTTCTTATGTTATTTATTTTATTGAATGGGCTTGACTTCAATGTATATACTTTGTATTCCAGGTTTGAAAGTGGACATAACAAATCATATTTGATTCTTAATTCTGCTATGATATCACTATTATGTTTTTTGCTTCTCCTAGTAGTGAAGATGTATGCAAGATTTTAGATGTGCATGAAAAAGTTTTATATGCAGTAAAATTTAAAATTCAAACCATAATGGTGCAACGATTGTAGATACTAGATAGTTAGAAACTGTATTTGTTTGGTTGCCATCTCTAAGTAAGGTTTAATGCTTCTGACTTTCATTTTACCGTTTTCTTTCCTCTTTTTATGCAAGTTGGATAATAGAGTATTAACCAAAGTCATGTGCCTCCTTGTATTCTTAAGCCACCATGGAGGAATTGCTTCTAAAGCTTCTTTTAAAATGGCAGGAGATTGAACATGCTGATCAGGATGCTCCACTTAATGAAGTTACGAGAGAGTCACTGAATGAGAGAACAGATGACCGTCTTCCATTACATCCATGCAAGATTGAGAGACCAGATGATTGCGCTACGCTATGCGTGCTTAATAGAGAAGCACCATTACCTCTACTACAGTACAAGAGAAGGCGGCAGCATAATGATTCAGGTCCCAACCATGCAAATGTTTCTGAGAATTCGACTAGAACGACTCAGGACCGTTGCTCATCTACAACAACAACAGCAGCGACAACCACAACATCACCATCATCCGCTACAACAACCGCAATTTCTGCACTGTTGGAATTTTCTTTAATGGAATCTATAGAACCCAAAGAGAATCCTCATGTCCCTCCACCAACATATGATACTACTACTCTAGATTCAGTGGTGCCTCCTGGCTGCATGAAACTTATCAACGAATTGCAGAATGAGATCCACAAGATTTCTGTTGAGAGGGAGACATTGAAGCTTGAAATGATGAGTGCCCAAGCCATGATTAACATACTCCAGTCAAGAATAGATTTCCTTAGCAAGGAAAATGAGGATCTAAAGAGGAGCAGCCGAGACGCGTAGCATGGGGATCCTAGGTACTCTTACCGTTCTCTGATTTCCTAATTGTTCCCCATATTTATGTATGAATTATCGTTCACCAGGCGATTGTAAAATTCAGATGACATTAGCATTTGGTTTGTTGTTGAACAATGTTGTAGCTTTCCAGCTTATTTAGTCAAATAAACAGAGAAGGACGATTTCACTTTTTATAACCTGTATTTCATGATCATGATTTCAACTATTATTTGGAACCCAAGAACTCTAACCTTTTAAACTCCTACAGGAGTTGAAATTATAGTTTTCAATTAATATTTTTAAACAGATTTGTTATACGAATATTGCTAAGAGAGACGCTGGAGGAGGAAAACAATTACAAGAGGTATCCTAATGAAGTTTTTATAGGAACGCTGAAGGAGGAAAACTGATGAGATTTTCGAATGGAAAATTCACTTTTTTAAAAATGTAGAAGGCTTAATTGCAAATTTGTTTTTCTTTTCTGGAAATTCACTCCATAAAAATGAAATAAAACATTAGGAAAGGAAAGTTGAAATTTATTATGGGAAATTATCTAACACAATGTTAGTGGAGTTTTTAATTTCCACAAATAAAATTAATAAAAAGATACATATTTTTTAAAATATATTAAAAAATGTGATAACTTTTTAATATTATTTGTAAAGTTAAAAAATTATTCATACAATCTATACAAAAACAAGCCTTATTATTATTTATGATATGATAATTCGTGTGATTATATCACGTAAAATATTATTTTTGTGTCGTATTTTATATGAAAATCGTATATCACATTTTATATCAACATAAAAATATAAAAAATAATTTTTTAATTTTATTAAATATATTTATGATTTTTTTAAGATTTAAAAATTATTATTTTTATATTTTTTATTTATAAAATTTTCATTTTATATTATCTTTGTCTCACGTTCTTATATTATATTACGGAGGAGGAATAAGAGGGAAATAGTCAAAATGTTCATCTAGGCTTTGACTTTTGAACCTGCTATCTGGCTATACCAGGCCCGTACCAACCGACCCAGTCCAGGTGAAAGTCTTATGGAGCCCAATTTTAGTCAGTGCATTACTTATTTTTCTGTCATGAAGAATGACGTCGTTTGATAAAAGGGCGTGTTAATCTCTTCACAAGCCGCAAACAAAAACCCATGCAGCGCCTCAGTGTTTTCTCTCTTCGCCTAAACGCCGGTCTCTCAATCCTCAAGAAAGCACCGAATATTTATTTTAGTAAACATTTATTTGTTTACTTGTTTGAAAATTTTCGGATTTTTTTTCTGGGTATTTAACAAATACTTTATCATTCTCAATATTATCACTTTTTTTTTCTAAAGGCTTTTGCTTGCTTTTGCTTTCTGGGTTTCTTTGGTTCAATTGCAAATGTAAGATTTTGAGACTTAACTTTTCTTTTTTTTTTTGTTTTTGCCTTGAAATAATAAAAACATTAAACTGGTCAACCTTGGTAGTTTAGGCTGTGAATTATATATTTTTCTTTTAATGAATCATATGCATATTTACAGGTGTTGCCTTAACAAAAGTTTAGCTCTTTTTTGTTTGTATTGGCATTTTTTACTTTATGGGTGCTTAAGGGTCACTTTGGAATTGATTGTTAGTGGCTTGGATTAAGTGGCTTGAAATAAGATGTTTGTGAGGAGTTGTGTTTGTGGATATAGTTGCAGCTAAGCGTTTAGCGTAATGGTAAGCCCATGCGTGTTTGGGAAGGTTTTGAGTCCTTCGATATATATAATGGATATGGTTTTGCTAAAGTTTGAAGTTTAGATTTTGTTGAAACAAGATTCAAACAATGTGAACGAAAAATGTTTGATTTCTTTTTTTTTTTTGTGTTATATTGATGAGAATCTTGAGGGAGCTGAAAGGTGAGGTTTTCAAAACAACTTTCAAATGTTTTAACAATTTGATATCCATGAAAAGTTTTTCTAACCTTTTTTTGGGGACTCTTGTTTTGGTTTCTATTGACCTTTGTTGTAGTTAAGGTGGAGTGGAATTTTAGGAATAAGTTACTGTTTATGTTCTTTTATGGCTTACTAATGTATTTTTTTTGGCTAATCAAGATATATAAATGCTTGAGAAATGTTAAAATATATTTGAAAATATGGATTTTTGTTTGGATCTATAGAATAAAATTCTGTTTTTAAATTTTGATTATTAATATTAAAATTAATAATTAAATTAAAAAAGAGAAAATAATAATACTGTACACGACATCATTGAACTCATACCTAAAGCCTTGCACTTTGTGTCTACTAGGGGTGTAAATGATACATTAGTACTCGCAAGCTACTCGGGTTCGATTCGAAAAAAACTCGAATTCGGTTCGATTATTGTCGAGTCGAGCTCGAGCTCGAGTAGCTCGACTTATCGATCGAGCCGAATTCGAGTATTCTTATATCTGATTCGAGTAGCTCGCGAGCCTAATCGAGCTTTTATATTTAAATATATTTTTATTTTTTTTAATTAAAAAAATATTTCGAATCCGAGTTCGAGTTCGAGTTCGAGCATGAATAATCGAACTCTTGTCGAGTATACAAATCGAGCTTATTTTTACATATTAATCGAGCTTAATCGAGCGAGCTCGAGTAGCTCGAATTCGATCACGAATCGAGCTCGAGCTTGAAAAATAAAACTCGATCGAACTCGAGCCGAGTATCGAGCCCCGAGTTGTGAGTCGAGCTCGAGCTCGAGCTTCTCACTACTCGACTCGGCTCGGCTCGTTTACAGCCCTAGTGTCTACCCTAACTATCTAACCCATTCCATTAGCACCCATACCCTACATTGCTAGCACCTGTACCTTGCCAGGCATCTATTCCATCCACCATCCCAGATGCCCAACCTCATAAAGCACCTAGTTTCCTCTAGTTTCCTCTCTTCCAGGGCTCAGACTCATACCTTCCCTCAACATTTTACCTAGCCACTTCAAAGTCCCACGTGCCTGCATCCTCGCCAAGACTCAGTACATAGCCTTTATCTTCCTGGTGACCAAAAACCCATCCAGCCCCATGCGTTCCCAAAGCCAACTCTACGCACGCTTTTAAAACCCTCTAACCCACACACCGACCAAATAAAAAAAATAAAAAAATCAATCTAAAAAAAAAAGCCACAACAAAAAAAACATAAAAAAAAAGAAGTATAGTTTTTCCCGTGGAAAGAACTATAGGTGTTGAGCTATTGGTAAAAACAAAAAAATATATATAAGTTTTGATTTAAAAAAAAAAATATTGAAACTTCAAATTTCAATCTATGTGGATCGAGATTATTTCTCGTAAAAAAGATAGATTTAAGCTCAAAAAATTAAAGGAAGTTTTCAAATAAAATTTGATATTTTTCGATCACTGGTGATCGTTGATGGCAGTCATAACGACGGATGACGACCGACCTTGAAAGAGGTAGAAAAAGGGTATGAAAGAGTGAGAAAGAGAAAGAAAAGAAAAATGAAATTAAAAATTTTGACTTTTATAGTTAAAAAAAAATCAAAACAACGTCATTTTCAATAAAAATCAAAATGATGTCATTTTGACCATCAAAGATCTGCATGTCTATTCGTTGACTCGACATGGGGTCTGCACAACTAACTCGACAACTTGATTCCCCTTTTGCCTAGACCAGTCTAATTGGATGGGTATTGAACCTTTGGTCCACTAAACCCCCAGATCACTGAATCAATTTGACTGAACCAGTGTTGAACAGTCCAATTCAGGTAAATAATTTTTTTTTATTTTTGATTTATTTATTTATTTTTTTACATATATTATTTTTAGTTGTTATTATTAGTTAAGCATGTTTAATTTTTTGTTAGAATAAATGTTTAGTGTTTTTTTTAAATGTTAATGATATTAGTAAATAATAATAAATCTAAATTTCGACCTTTTTAAATTTCATTAAAAAAAACCTAAAATAAACTTTATAAAATTATAAAATAATAATAATTAAATGATAATAACAATAATAAGAATGAAAAAATGATTTCAAAATTTTTTATTTTTATTCTTTTCTTTCTTCTTTATATAATAATAAATAATAAATAAAATAAAATAAATAAAAGAGAATAATAATAAAAAAATGCTAAAAAAATCTTTAAAAAATGATAATAAGAACAAGTTATAAAATTTTTTTTTCTACCTAGATGGAGAAAATTTTTTTAAATAATTTTGTCTAGATATTGAAAAATTATAAAAAATATAAATAAATAATAAAATATACATATATTATTATTAATAATTTTTTATAAAAAATAAAATATATGAAAAATATTATTAATTTTTGAAAATCATAAAAATTGAATTTGTTTCGAAAATTTGCCTAGATAATGAGAATTTTTAGAGACATTCGCATTTTTAAAATTAAAAAATCTAGACCCTAAACCCTTCAAACTTTAAATCAAAATCTTAAAATTTAAACTCTAAACATTTAAACTCCAAAATCGAAAGCCTAAAATCAAAATCCCAAACACTTGAAACCCTAAACTTTAGTACACTTAAAATCTTAAAATTCAAAACTCGAAAAACTTTTAAACCTTTAAAACTCTAAAATCTAAAACCCTAAATCTTTCAAACACTAAAATTCAAAACCCTAAACCTTAAATTTCGAAACCCTAAACATCGAACCCTAAACATCAAACCTTAAATATTGAAATCCTTTCAATCATAAAATTTAAACCCTAAACCCTTTAATCATAAAATCCAAAACCCTAAATCCTTTAAACTATAAAACCTCTAACTTAAAACCTTAAAACTCAAAACTAAAGTCTAAAACTCAAAGACAAAACCCTAAATAAAAATTAATCAAAATCTTAAATTTTAACCTAAACCTTAAATTTGGCACACAACCTCCAATCATCACCCAAAAATACTCAAACTTTAAAATCTTGACCTAAATTTTACCCAAGACCATTCTAAAATCCTAAAGATTGGTGAGAAAATCTCACTTAAAATAATTTGTTCTTAAATACCACTTAGACGATAGAGTAAAAAACTTCTTTCATTAAGTTTTTCATGTGAGTCCTTAATTCGTTTTAATAATATGATTAAAACTAATAAATAAAAATGTATAAAATGGGATGTTAAATATAAAGAGACACATTTAAACTTTGCCTAAATGTTGGGGAGTCAATGTGGTCTTATTATATTTAATAATACAAATTTAAATTTAAATTTCATCATCATACATAGCACTATTGGCTTACATGCGT